GGGGGGGGGCGAAGAGGCGTAAGGTAGCGTTTCCGCGGGACAGAGGTGGCCCCCAGTTACCAGATAAAGGCGACCCATTACCAATATATAAGTAGCTCGGCTGTAAAATAACCGTGTCTTCGAGTACCAACGAAGCGAGACAACACTATCTATGGGGGATGCTTTTTAGTGGCATTACTCGGGGCGAACACGCGATAATCGGGCCATTTATCTCGCGTATACATCGTGAACACTGCGTGCATCCAGCTACTCTACGACGCCGATCTCGTCCTACAAACGTTCATCTAATATCGATCGTTGTAATTTATCAAAACAAACAGCGTCTTCGTTCTAAAGACGTAAAAAAAGACGTAAGAGAGGGAGGTTTTGAAGCTAGAGAGAGTTCACAGATTTCGAAAGTAGCCAACGTTCATTCGGAGCCAATAAAAATGAACAACTTGGTCGTTGGGCAATACTGGCGAACAACTGGTGATGCTGCCGGGGTCTCGTGTCTCGCCGAGGTCCTCGAACTCTTCTCTCCTTTTCTTTGGAGCCCTCCTCCTCCTCCCCCCTCCCCTCGGGTGAGTCTTATCCGAGAACGCTGGAAATGGGCGCAGGTTGGCACCGGTTAAACCGTCTTGGACACCACCGTCGTCGGCTCGTGAGAGTTCGCGAAGGGGGAGTGACGATAAACTATACTAAACTGCGCTCTCCGTGGCGATGCTTTATTGGCTTTTATCGAGTTTTAACGCAAGCACGCCGGATTCCTTTATGGAAACGCCGTTAATTTTACGACGCGGGCATATTTAGCCCGCGGGCTTCTCGTAAAATCATACTTCGGCCGCGATAAAGTTAAAACATCGGCAGGCTTAAAGCAAAGTTCGCCTCGTAAATATAACGGGGGTGGTGGTAGCAACGGGGGAGAGATACGTGCACGATACATACACAAGACTAGGCTTGGGCGAGGGGAGCCGTGGGAGGGGAGGGCGGCTCTGTCGACGCAACGTCGGGGTGGCTCTGCTTTCACATCGTTGTAATTAACTTATGGTAATTAACCGACTCGCAGGCGGGAAAAGATTTTTATTAGGCTTCCGCGTCTTTGTAACTCCTTTTTTTCCGTTTTTTCTTTTCTTTTTATTACGCCGGTTTAATTGAAGTCTCTCCACTTCTCCGCTGTGACGCTGCGAATCCTCCCCCCTCCCCCTCTCTCGGGAGATCCACAGTCTACATTATCTTCCGCTTCCTCTTTGAACTTGATGCGCCGCTCGGAGAAAGCGCGAC